TGTGGTACATATAAAAATTATATTATAACATGCCTTATAACATTAGTGGCCTATTATCTGAAATCTGTATAGAATGTTGTATAACATGTTATGTTATATAGTCTGTACGCACCGTAATAATATAATATTATCTATTTTTACTCACTTACTGCGCTGGCTAAAAAAATGTCTTTGCCTCCGAAACGAGAAACTTCCAGCGCTTCCTGTTCTATGCCACCTTCCACCAATGGCTTTTAGCTGTAGCAATATATTTTCAGATATTAAATACTGCTAAAACAAGGTTAGTTATGTTGCAGGAGGCAAACGGGCAGGAGGCTCACCTGATGTTAAGTGATACCGCCGCCCTGCCAGTAGGCTCGCAAGTGCGTTGTCGGCCTTTTAAGAATTGGTACGCTCTTTTCTTAAAGGACTTAGGGTCAAATTGGTAATGACCTATAATGCGGATGAATACTATGATTGAGTTTTCGCGTTTCAGATTTCCACGTGAACTACAAAAAATCAATGATATTTTTCAGTCAACATATATTACGCACGTGTCCCATTTAATTGCTAAGCTCTGAATTACATGAATTATTAAAATAAAAATAAAAAATTAATCAGTGGCGCTACAGCCTACAACCTCTTTAGGTCTTGGCCTCAGATTTCAGAATCTGTTTCATGATCATTTTTAAATCTAATAGGCAAGTACGTGATCAGCCTCCACCTGACACACGCCGTCGACTTTTTGGTGCACAGCCGGGGATTGAACCTACGACCTCAGGTATGAGAGCCGCACGCTGAAGCCACTAGGCCAACACGCTCTAATGAATATTAACAAGTTAAAAACCTTTTCGCTCATATAAATGCATCCTTTTTATCTCGCTTAATTGATTTGTCGCTTAAGCCGACTGTATCCTTGCTTCTCAATTACGAGAGTATCGAGAATGCCTTCCGTTTTATTTATGGTCAGTCAATTGATTGAATTAGTAGCCCCTAAGGCGCTTCGGGGAACTTGCTTTATGTCGATGTGAATTTACTCACAAGCGCCGTCTACGTTTTCTGTTACCAATATTACAATAAAACGGTGGTATATAAATAAGGATAGATTGGTAATTGGAACTGCTGCGGTGAGCCACACTGTGCACACTATATTAGTTTGTTAGTTTTTTGTATTAAATATATGTTTGTTTGTCTATGTTTTACCTACTGTTTTCATTTTACGTAAGCCTCAAATTGCTATTCTCACTACAAATGGAGCTTTATATTCCGTTTATGAATAAGACAGAAACAGAATATGCCCTGTTATTTTTAAATTTAGAATCCAATTTCAATAATGGTGTTCTTATTTCAAATTTAATCACAAATTCTGTTTAAAACTTTCGATATGTTACTTTACCAATAAGACAGAATCTAACTATGGTCACCCTGTTATTTTTAAATTTAGAATGCTTTTAGATTCTAATTGACATAATGGTGTTCCTTTTTCGAATTTAATGAGAAATTCTTCAAATCATCGCTGTTATAAACTAACGGTATTCCAAAACAAAATATTTATAAATTGACTTAAATAACTGTTATCGAAAGTGACACGTGTGGCAATTTGCTAAAAATACCATAGACACACGCACATTCTTATCACAGAGCCGCAAACGGCTGGGCACGTGCGCGCGATCTGTATCGGCCTAAGAAGGCTATAAGCCTCACCTGACACAAGTCCGAGTCGGTACGTGCTTAGAATATCCTCACTTCAATGTTTATCTCGCAGAAATAAATAAAGCTGCATTTTATGCGATCGCTTTGCACGGAAGCCAGTGCTAGCGTTTTATGTGGATTTTATAGTGTTTGCTCGTGCATATTGTTTATTTGAATGTAAGGTATATCAAATATTGCGCATTTTCGCTCCTTCTATTTACACTGTATTGTGAAATCGGCATAAAGCAATTATGGTTTAGTTTACATATTTGTGTAAATGAAATTAGTATTGAAATATGGCTGTGTGGCTTTTTGTTTGGGAAATATACAAAATTCCAAATCTTTTTAATATTTGGATTTAACTGAAACTGGTCTAATTTATTTATTTTAAACACCTCGCTTTATATTTCTATGAAATTCAATCATAACTGTTCGATAGTCGCAGATTTAGATATACTATATATATAGTACAGATAGGTACACATATAACAATAGTTGCAATACAATATTTAACCGTTTTTTGGCAGTTTTTACCGCGCACCACCATTATAGTGGAGCCAGCTGCTTACTGAAGTATTTCCGAACCAATTCGACCAATTCTTAAAAGGCCGGCAATGCACTCGCGAGCCCTCTGGCATTGAGTATCAATATCACTTAAAATCAGCCTCCATATATTTGTTCCCTGTTATATGAAAAAAAACCAGAGCCCTGTTAGCCTAGCGTGCGGTCCAACCTTAAGGTCGTGGGTTCGATACCTTATAGCCCTTATAATGACTTTATTATACGCGTAATTTACACTTGTAGATTGCAACTTTTATGACCCCTGTATGTGACGTATTTCATCAACAACTGACACATCTTTATTCATAAAGAAAAAAATAATAATGAATTTGCCTCTTCACAATATTGCATTTTCGGCTTTACATGCTGCAGGTATATTTGCATGAGGCTGGTGACTATAATAAGACTAAAGAAGTCCTGTGGTAACAGGTTACCAGCTCATCATTTTAATTGACGGTTAACACCAATTGAACCTTCATTGTTTATTCAAAGTTTCATTGAACGTCAGCACATATTATGTCGCTAATTAAGTACTTAAAAATGCTAGTTTAAAGATAATACCGGATAGATTTAATGAGTTCCGTTGTCTTACGTATCGGCGTGGGACAAAGGAGGTTTCATTAACAGTTTCATTGAAATATTCATGAAGTGCCAGAGATAACAGAATATTCGATTAATTTGAGAATAGGCTATCGATGACATGTATGTACATAAAATAAATCAAATTGAACTTTATTTTAATATATGAAAGTTATTTAGAGATTTAAAACCAAATTGGAATAATAAAGTACAGCTCCTTACGTCAGTGAACGTAAAAAATGCTACTGTTATTTTTATTTTAGAAATAAGTTGCCCAAATAACATAAGAAATGTAGGATTGACAATCGATAAGCGTAAGTATAACTCCAGTTCAATATTTTCACTAAAATCTCAGCCTGAACAACACCACAAATAGAAAAAAATATTTTCTTTTTGCTTGAGCAATGTTATTTTTTTTTTTTAAATACAATTCACACCAATTGACCTAGTCCCATGCTAAGCTGATGAAGCTTGTGTTATGGGTACGAGGCAACGGATATACATATATATTATAGATAGATAGACAAATAAATACATATTTAAACACCCAAGACCTAAGCACAACACCAAATGCTCATCACATCGATGTTCGTCTCAGCTGGGGATCGAACCCGGGACCAATGAGTCGTCAATGAGTTTTTATATGTATAAAAGCCTGAATCACAATATTGCAATCAACAGAAAAACAATTATTAAACAATATACGTGATTAGCAACATTTATGGCACATTCATGGCACCAAAACACAGTTGACACGTCTCAACTTCGTACCACGTGTCTAGAATTCGCGAGTAATAATCTTGTTCCGGTGATAATATTATGCTGAAGTTTAGGTATGCTGTTTTGTTTGAGTTGATAAGCTTTCGGTGCTACTTAGTGGTGTATTTTATAGTTAGTATAGTATTTTGTATTTGTATTCATGTAGTAGTATGGCCTAGTGGATTCAGCGTGCGACTCTCATCCCTGAGGTCGTAGATTCGATCCCCGGCTATGCACCAATGGAGTTTCATAGTTGCGCATTTAACATTCGCTCGAACGGTGAAGGAAAACATCGTGACAAAACCGGCTTGCCTTAGACCCAAAAAGTCGACGACGTATGCCAGGCACAGGAGGCTGATCACATACTTGCCTATTAGATTGACAAATGATCATGAAACAAATACAGAAATCTGAGGCCCAGACCTAAAAAGGTTGTAGCGCCATTGATTTTTTTATAGTTTCTTATATTTATTTGTATTGTTTTGTTTTGTTTTTATGGGTTCTTGTATTGTATATTCATACTCTTTTTGTTTTTATCGTATACAATACATAAATAGTTATTATAAATACGTCATAATTTATAGTTTTTATAAACAAAATTTAACAAAATAATAATTGAGTAAAACACATTTTTAGTTAGCTTTTAAAGCTTTAAGGTAAGGGCTGTCGCAACATCTAAGTGGTGGTGGGTAGGTCATATAGCACGCATGGACCCGCAGGCTTCTTGAATGGAGACATCAACAGAAGAAAAGTCCGCGCGTTTGCCCACCGATTCTGAAGACATCGTCAAGGAGGTTGACTCACAGTGGATAGGTGCAGGGCATACTGGAGGAAGATGTAGGAAGATGCAGAAATGGATCAAAAAGGAGATAAATTTAATTAAACTAAGTGGTAGTCTTATATAATATAAGTGGTGCACAGCACTACCTCGGAGTGGGAATCAGCTTAACGATGTCGACTGTGGGTCAAAAGTCAATTCTTCATATTCGCCGTACTGCAAACTGTATTTATCTTAATAAGTGGGTCGAAATTAATTTTGAATAGTATATTCAAAAATGTTACCTGTGATTTTTAATCATAAAACTGGTATGAAAACCCATACAAAACAAATGAAAAGCGGTCACTAAATTTAAACTAAAATATTGTAAATAGCCCTTTGTTGTTTTACGCTGCAGTTCATACGTTGGAAGGAAAAAATGTTGGATTACAAAACTGCAACGCGATAGTCAACTGAAAATTGAATTGTACCTGCAGTGATTTTCATAAAGTTCATAATGGCAAGTTCAACGTTCTGAGTCGGCGCGAAATATATTTTATAGAGGGGGGCAGTACGCGGCGACGTGTCTGACGGGGTGGCTGTGTCGCACTTTTTTCTAATACATCGCGATGTTCGAATAAACAATAGTCGAATGTGTTAAGTGTATGTCATTATGGTGATACTGTGTGATAAACGTGAATGGAACCAGTTGATAATAGTTTTGAATTTTTTGATCATTTTCCAAACATCTGTTGGTAAGTGTTTATATTATTTTTTTAAATCTAAATTAGCCTACGAGTATGCTAAGTGAAATGTTTATTAAATGAAACCTCGAACATAAATATAATGTAAGCATTTTAAATAATATAAATTAATATATTAAAATAAATAATGTAGAATATAATTAAATTAATTAATTAATAGTAAGTATTTTATTGATATTTTATTATTATGATGAATCGCTTAGCATCGGAACTTTCATCTATCAATGACCGATTCATTTATAAGTGCATATTTGTATGAGTTTAATGATATTTAATAGTTAACAACCTACTATTAATTAATCAAAAATTTGATTTAATTGATTAAATACGTCCAAGGTAAAAAAACAATAAATTTCTTAAAAGCGCAAAGCCGGGCGCCCCGTATAAAGGAGCACCCAGCTGACACAATAGTTGGGAGGAGCGAACCCGCTACCCTTCGTTGCGTGGCTGAAGGAAAGCCCAAACCAACGATCCAGTGGTACAAAGACGGCTCTCCGCTTGCGCCGACTGACCATCCGCACAGGGTTTTGCTTGAAGATGGACTTCTTTTTCTCAGGTGTGTGATAAAATATAATGTACCAAATATGTAGTATGTCTGCCAACAGAGGAACAGTAAGGAATTAAAGCGTTGGATCTTCATAATTTACAATTTAAAAAATAGTATTTACCGATGTTTCGCGCACTTTACAATTAGCATTTCATATTATTGATTTAAATTAATATGAGTAATCTTAAACGCATCTATCTATAATTCTATATATATATATACAAAACAAAGAAACATATACAAATACCAATACTTGTTATAAAACGTTTTATTTCACATCCTTCAATTTTTAAATTAATTTTAAGTTAAATATTTAACAGGTACAGTTTGTTGTAGGACTTTAATATCTAGAATTGCCGAACCAATTATTAATACTGTCACCAGTAGAAAGCTGCATTATTTGTTAATCATATATAAATAGTATTAATGTACATATTCATATTTTTATTATATGAAGATAATTACTATACTAAATTACTACTTATAAGATGCAAATATAACAAATATTTAAAACTTTTGTCATAAGACGTTGAAAATTTGAATAAGTTAAACAATTTCCATTCAAAGCTAATAATGGTGATTGCTTCTTTAGATCAGTAATTAATTCTAGCATCAAATATTGTTGCCGATTAATTTAATTAACGATCCTTAGTACGGCAGTAAAGCACTCTTATTTTAATAGATAAGCGACCCTGCGGAATGGCCATAAAAGGCAACTTCCCCAGTGCATGGACACAATATTTTTTAGTTAAGCGTTATAGGACATATTGTGAATGTAAATGTTTGTAGGGTCATGCGTGGTAAGAAAGAGAGCGACGAGGGCGTCTACTGGTGCGTCGCACGTAACACTGTCGGGGAAGCGGTTAGCAAGAACGCGACACTTACTATCGCTGGTAAGGACTACATACTTACCTCCATATCTATAACCAAGTATCACTTGAGTTAAAATGTCATATACAGTAATGTGCGCTATATATAAGAACTCTTTAAAAATGCATGAGAGCAAAAACTCTTAGTTATTAAGAAATGATTTGAGAGCAAGTAATGACTTATTTAAACGGAGATTTATATGTATACGTCGGGATAAGATACGGGTTTGCCCAAAAAGGACAGCCATTGTTGCCATGGGAACAAGAATGTTATTTTCCTAGCATGTCCAAACATTTGGTAATAACTAGTGAACATACAGACCCGTGACGTAATATGTTCATGTTTAGATTATGATGGTTCATAATCTGGATATAATGGAGAGACTGGGTCTACTGGTTTCTAGCAAGAACATGAGGCGGAAGTCTCAACTTTTGGATGTATCGCGCACACGCCAACTTGGTTAGCCAAGAGTCACCTACGTTAGCAATACATATAATTAATAGAATTTCTATCGAAGTAGACCTATTTGTCTGTACACTGGTTGTTCACAAGAGTTGCTTGGGATATTAATAGTTAAAGGATCTAGATAGGTATATATTTTTTTTATTTGTAGGTTTGTCGGTGTAGGTATTATTGTAGTAGCTGTTAAAATATATGAATTATGTGGAAATAAATAAATGATTATTTTATACTACCTTCGATATGTTCTGCCACCATTTAGAATAAATAATATAAAATACATACATTAAACTGTACTGTCCATAAAATTAAAGCGAAACAATTTTAAATGTCTAAAAGCTTTCACTTTACTTAATGTCCATTAAGTATCGAGAGCTTTACAATATTAAATAAAATGAATTTCGCTGTAAAGTGCTTAAGTAAGAGGCCAAAGTATGCACAGGGGACAGTTTTAGCTAAGTTTTAATTTGTTTTAGTAGTTTTTAGTAGTCTGCGAAATTAATTAAGAGCCTTAACGACTCAGACTGCGACGCTAGCTCTCATTACGTTTATGCGATTTTAGGGACAAATTAAATGTACTTTAAGAATAACTTACTATTCAGCGGTCGGACATGGTGACTTTAAAAGCTTTTAATGGTTTATGTATTTTAAGATTGTAGTGTTTGGGGCATTTGCTCGTTTAGGAAGATATTTGATTGTCACTCGGGAAAAGAACAGTACGTACGTAAAATTAAAGACATTTGTACGGACTACTGGAACAGCGCTCTGTGGGCGTTTTAGGAACTCCGCGGACGCTTGAGAATACATAGTTCGAATAGAAAAGAAAATTTTGTAATTAACTATACTATTTTTTGTATTTCTTTATTTAAAAAAAAATAATATAATCACAGTATGTTACATTAGCTGTGGTTTGTATTAATGTAAATATAGCAGTCTTGTTTAGGAGCGCGACAAATGCATATAAAAGTAGTTTTTTTAATTTACTGTTAATGTTGGTTAGCGTTGGGTAGATCATTTATTAGCCGCGGTAGCGAACACCTCAACGTTTTCTCGCTGTATAGATACGTTGTTTGCTCTCGATGTACAGAGCCGAACTTGCGTTACCGCTCGAGTCTGCACGTCATGCTCCACTCGTTGTGCTGTCAATATATATTACATTATCATATTGATGTACACGCATAATATCGTAGCATTTGTCGATACTATCGTAAACTTTGTGCTTAGGAAATAGCTACCCTTAGTAATTAGCCAGGATAAAAATCAATGTTCTTACGAAAAAAAATATTGCTGTTGAAATTTTTATTGTTTTATTATTGTTTTTATCTTTTTATAGTGAAATTGGCTAAGTGTCGGTAGTAATATATAGCATATTTCATACAGTTCTACGTGATGAATTCCGAAACGAGCCACGGGACGTGAAAGTAGCTAGTGGAGAGCCAGCAATGCTAGAATGTTCTTCACCCAAGGGTGCTCCAGATCCTTCAGTACATTGGGTTAAAGATGGAAGAACGCTTGATGTCGATGTTAATGGAAGGTAGAGCTGAAATCTACTTGTGTATAAAACTTTTACGTCAAACCCTTTGCTTTCAAAAATCGAGTCAGTGTTCTCCAAGTGGCTTCAGCATGCGACTCTCATCCCTGAGGTCGAAGGTCCGATCCCCGGCTGTGCACTATTGGACTTTCTTTCCATGTGCGCATTTAACATTCGCTGGAACGGTGAACAAAAACATCGCGAGGAAACCGGCTTTCCTTAAATCCAAACAGTCGACGGCGTGTGTCAGACACAGGAGGCTGATCACTTACAGACACAGAAATTTGAGTCCCAGACCTAAAAAGGTTGTAGTGCCATTTATTTATTAAAAACTATCTCTAAAGTAAATCGAGGAATAGGTTTCGCAGAAGACAATAAAATGTGCTATTTAGTTAAAAAAAAATATGTTAGAATGATGTTCAGGTAAACGTAATCATTGTTTTCAGGATAGCTATAGTCGACGGAGGAAATCTAAAGATAATAGAAAGTCTTGCATCTGATAGCGGTGTATACAAATGTGTGGCGTCTAACGTAGCAGGCGAGAGACAATCTCGTCCCGCCACATTACTCGTATTACGTAGACCACATTTTCTAGTGAAACCCAATAATATAACGGCACTGATTAACCAGAACGTTGAGTTTCATTGTCAAGTAAGTAATTAATGAATGTACAATGTAACAAATTTGATTTTCATTTAAAAACCAATCATCAGTCAACTAACGCTCATTCACGTTTTAGGCCTCACCGGAGTCAGATGTATCAGTGACATGGTCACGTGATAAAGGTCAATTATCTCCGTATGCAATAATAAGAAGGGGTTCGTTAAGGATAGATAGAGTGCTCCCGTCAGACGCTGGGACTTATACTTGTCGCGCTGAGAGCCAAGCAGGAACCAGTGTGGCTAGTGCTACGCTGACTGTGCATTGTAAGAATTTTATAGTCTCCTAGCTGACCCGGCAAACGTTGTTTTGCCATGTACATTATTTCTAGGAAACATTTTTTAGTTCAATAAAAATAACTGTCTATAATAATAAAAAAATAGGGGTATATCGTCGAGGGGTGAAACTTAGGAGCTGTATGTATTTTTGTATGTTGTACCATAAAAAATAAAAACAAAAAAAATGTCTAAAAATAAAAAAAAATTTTTGGAGACATTTAGACTCAGACTAACTGAATATGCATAAAAATTTCATATGAATCGGTCGAAGCCGTTTCGGAGAAGTATGGTAACGAACATTGTGACACGAGAATTGTATATAATAGACTAGCTACCCCGCGAAATTCGTTTCTCCTTAATGTGGTCTCCTCCTCTCCTTTTACTTAGTCTACCTTTTTAGTACATATTAACATGGCACATTTTACTTACTACCCCAGAGAATGTTAAGTTTTCTAGAATTATTTTTTAAAGATTTTTCTGTGAATTTTTCTCTATATAAAAACCTCGGAGTTCAAGTTATAATTTGATGCCACATAATAAAAAAATAAGACTAACTAAATATGCATAAAAAAATTCATATGAATCGGTCGAGCCGTTTCGGAGGAGTATACCTAATGGGAACGAACATTGTGACACGAGAATTTTATATATTAGAAGATATAATATTTTTAATTATAACAGACGTCTATATTTCAAATCCTTTTTAGCTCTACCACATTTCACGCGTGTGCCTTCTGATCAAACAGCATGGGAAGGAGAATCCATCTCATTTCCATGTGACGCTGATGGTTCTCCGAAACCAGTTATATTCTGGACGATGGAGGGTTCTCAGGTAATAATATACAAAATCATAGATATAAAAAAACAAAAGAAAGCAGGTTACATAAGTCATTAGGCAACGGGCGGCCTTATCGTTAACAAGCGATATCTTCCAGGCAACCCTAATATGGAAGAATAAAAAAAGAAACACATACATAGGGTAATGTACAAAATGTGCATAATTAATTCACAAAAAAAACTCAAAATAACATTTAACTAAAATTAAATAAAGTAAAATATAAATAATTATATGTATAAACAAAAATGTAAAAGCTAATCCAAAGGTTAATTGAGTCACAATTAATATAATATCTAAGTAGTAGCTAATTACGAGGCAGAAGAAAAATTCCAAATACATTAGTACTAATTGTTGAAGGTTTTACTAATAATAGGATATTACAGGAAATCATATTTCCAAATTCTGTACACGCATCGGGGTCTCTTTATTTGGACCGAGTGTCTACTCAACACGCCGGTAGATGGACGTGCGCAGCTGTCAGCGCCGCAGGAAGTGCATTACATACTGTTACTTTGCAGGTTCGAATTTCAAATCATATTTAAATGATTATCGTTTAAAAATAGAATTTAATTTTGAAATGGTTATAGGTTTTACGGAGAGAAGCAAATTCATTCAATGGGAACCTAGAGTCATCGTCTCCGTATCCCGATATTAATAAACCTCAAAATCATCCACCAATGACTCAGTACGAATTAGTGCAAGCTCGTCGATATTTACAGAAGGATGTATTGGTCCTTAGACGAGTTGAAGGAATTTCGTCGACAACCCTAAAAATTGTGTGGGACGTAAGTATCTATTAAAGCGTGATTTATATTAAATGGTTCATAATCTTCATTAAGGTGTTCATTTTAGGTACTGACTGATTATAACGAATATTTAGAAGGAGTGAAAATATGGTTTAATGGGACGTCGTTGAATAAACAATTTGCTTTAGAACTTCAAAATCAACCGGTCAATGGTAGTATAGACAGTTTGATAGAATTAGCAAAACATGAAAATTTTACAATGACAACGGTTCATAATAGTGGATCCTCAAGCCATGTACTCACAGGGTTGATACCATATGCCAAATACAATATATTTTTGATGCCATTTTACAAATTGCTACTTGGGAAACCGTCCAACATGAAGACTGGTTTTACAGAGGAAGATGGTAAGATATTTAGCAACAAATTTATGAGCCACACAAACGCACATTTCATTTCTTTTACAATAGCTTTAATTATGTTTTATATCAACAACGTTCATATATAGAAATATTTCTTCTAAAAATTAAGGTATAATTACTGATTTCATTTGCGTAAAAGTTTTAAATTACATTGTACGGTTCCTGGGTCATCGGGGTGCTATCAATAATAGAGGATTTTAGTTTTACTCTATATTAACCACTCGCGTACAACAATAGAATATAAGCGAAATAATGAAATGTTAATTGCTATGTAACGAATGAATACAATTTAACAGTTGAAGGGAGTGCTTACGTCTGGCTATACTCTCGGGGCGTATCTCCGACGATTTAGGAAATCGCCACACTTATAAAACTAAGAATGCCTGAGTGAGCAAAATGTACAGCCTTGGCTCGTACATACTATATTAAAATTGTGATATAAAACCGTTAACGTGAAACATTTATTCTTTGGTATTTCCATTAGACCATTTAATAAAGTGATCAGTAAAATATTTCATTAATTTATAATGAAAACTTATGTAACTAATAAACTGTATGTAATAAACAATACACATTACACTCACAAATTGATTTACACGCACACTACATTCACTCATGCACTCATAGACCAGTGCAGATAGCCTTTAAAATAATTAAAAAGTGAAAAAAATTACAGTAGGATGAAACCCATTAGAAAAGCAGGGGAATATGATCAAAATGAAAGGAAAAATAAATTACGGTCGATGAGAAGTAAGGAAGGGGATGACAGGTCTGGGCGTTACTGCATACGATTTTTTGCGTTTTCTGAGAAGATTTACTATGGAAATATATATATATTTTTACCATAGGAAAGTAGAGATTTCAACGAACTGAAAGCACACCAACTTTTTGAAAAAAGCTGAAATTTTGACGTCAGAATTTTCGATTGAAAATTAGGGTGTTTTTTCGATATTAATTCAAAATAGATGAACAAATAAATATTTTTAATCAAATGAATTACAGCGTATTTGGAACATAGAAAGGTAAGTTTTCACCAAATTTCGTTAAAAAAAAAATATTTTTGTAAAAGATAAAAATAAAAAACCAAAAACTTGGTTTTTTGAATTTTTCACATAAATTTTGAGGTTATGTGAAAAATGTGTGAATACAAAAGTTTTAGATCTTTTTATTACCTCCAACTTTGCCATTTAACTTTCTTCGATAGGACTTTTAGTTTTGCCGGAAATCGAGATAAACCGTTTTTTACCCTTAAAACTACCCCCCCTACCCCTTCCCGACCTCAGATCGCCCGTAATTTATTTTTCCTTTAATTTTTATAATATTCTCCTCCTTTTCCAATAGGTTTCATCCTACTATTATTTTTTTAGGTTTCAAAAGTTATCGGCACTGGTCTATCAGGCATGTTACGCGTCGCGTATGCTGAAATTAGCAGAAGAATTAGTTGCAACAGTTTTATAATCAAAATTTTAATAAAAAATAAATAAATTAATTAACTTTGTTATAGAAGAGCTGGGTTCACACAGCCTTTTTTTCCATATACCAAATCTTACACATTGCAATGCATATCTACCTTAATAAACACAAATTTTAAAAATATCTATATCTGAAAATGATATATTTTCTTACACGATAAACTTAATAAAGCTGTATTTTTCATATATGTAAGTTCCAATTAAATTAAGCTATGCTATGTGCATAGCTTAATTTATATGGTGTTTATATATTAAAAGGTAAAATTTTACAGTCCCCACGGCTCCACCGCACAGTGTAACAGCTGGTGTAATAAATTCAACATCAGCGTGGATTCGGTGGGACCCGCCGCCAGTTTACGCGTGGAATGGAGAAATAACTGGATATTTGGTTGGTTTTTTAATGTTTTTATCTTTAATATATTTTGTTAAAATTTTCTGAATGCCAGGGTCAAATAGGTAACAAAGTGCTCGTTTGCTGTTCTCGTTTTACAGTTAATTATTTAATATTATCTTTATATCGTCAAGTATATAGCAAATATGTTGTTGTGATGCTTCGACGTCGTTCAAAGGTTTTTTTCTAAAATTCGGATACTACTATGAAAGTTAAAACTTATTTAAAAACACTTTTATCGAATCAAAATGCGTTTAAGATAATCAATTTTAATAGAAATTACAAATAAAATACTACCATCGTTCTGTGGATCTTTTTTTAAAATGTCAGATTATTTTAGATTTTTATTTAATTTATTATCAAATTAAAAAACTAAATATAAAGAGATTTACACATAGATTGAGGTGAGGGTGGGAGGGAGCAACAATGGTCGTGTTGTGGGTCAGATGTCACTTGGAGCCAAAACCCGTGCTGCAGCAGCCAGTTCTCTCAGGGCTGGAGGGCGTTACGTAGCACGCGCTGCGGCGGTGACTAAACGCGGTCACGGGCCGTTCAGTGCGCCTGCGCAGATACATATGCTGCCTACACAGTCACAGAGGCATTACGTGCAGTAAGTAGTATTTTCCCCTTATTCGTAAATGTATTTAATGACGTACTCTTTCGTCCCTTACTATCAAATTGTGTTTACCGTGTGTTGAAAGCAGACAGATGTATAGGTAAAATTTGTCGAATTTCATCTGCTACCTAGGGGATTACCATTGTAAAAATTTTACGATAAAAATAAAAATAAATAATAAAGGTCTAAATACGTTTTACAAGAATTTATTGTAGTACTAATATAATCTTGTGGTTAAGGTGTTAAGGGTATTCAGCGTAGCTTCATCATATATATTACTAGCAGATCGGCCAAGCGTTGCTGTGGCTAAGGTTTTTGTTATATTACATAGTAGCAAACTATTGAAGGGAAACGGTAGGAGAACACCAGTCATGGGGACCACCATGCTTTTTTGTATGGTATGCCATTAAATTGTAGCTTATGTGAAACGTTGGTACTTTCAACACAGCGCCATCTGTTAGAATATATATTATAATATTGCGGGTATAAATTGAGATGTAAGCTATCCTATCTTTTAAGTTGGATCAAACTACACACGGTGTGCAAATTTGATTGATATCGGTTCGGTAGTTTAGGAGTCCATATCGGACAAACAACGTGACACGTAATTTATATATATTAAGATTATTTCTATTAAACTATCTTTAGTGTGTACATTTTTTCATTATGTTACTAAAATAGTGTAATTATTAAATAAGTTTTATTTACATAATTTACACAATAGAGATTTATTTCATTGCACACTAACTGAATATACAAGAATCGCTTTATTCAGAATTTGTTAGCAAGCATTCAGACTTTTTTTTCTAGTTTATTTTTGGATAATTATCATAGGTTAGGTTAGGTTAGCTACAGCTTCTTATGGATCTGTGCATCCGCAAGTATCTTTCGCCATTGTAATCTAGTGTCTTATTTAGAGTTTAGACCACATATTTAGTTTATTAATAAGCTTAATTTAAATATCATAGTGTGTAATGAGACCGGCGTTCAAACGTCGGCTGTGAAAACGCATATATATATATAAACGTGTTCAAAAAGCTGATCATTTATGAGTCATAAATTATGACCAAGGAAACAGTAACAGCGCCACTACTTTTTATAATATTTAAGTATGTACTTGCGTAAACCAAAGACAATATTAAATATCGTTGTTACAGAACGGAACCAGCCAGAGACAAAGCAATTTTGTCCGTGTTCCAAGAAACTTGGCTGCTCGTTTTAAGTTTGATTTTATTGGCGATCATTCTAGTCGGAACAGGCATTATAATTTATTTACGCCAGAAGCAATCAAAACAACGAAAGAGCCACAATTCAGCAAGTACGTATAAATAAATAATTTGTTATATATTTATTTTAGCGGTCTTTTTAAATTTTTTTGTACTGATTCTCTCAGCAATATCTGAGCACATCTTCCTGTCCAAGGGATAGTTAAACATATTTAGTGTATATACTTTTATTTAGGTTACCACACTTCTATCTGTGGAATAAATGTTTTGTTTGTTTATTTAAGTCTATGACAAGCTGTCTCCATAGGTATTAGTCACGGCAATCTGTAATTCACTTTACAATGTTGCCATTATTATGGCGCTGTATGGACGCAGACCGATACGGCCTTATTTTAATTTAGGTATTTTTTTGGGATGGTATCTACGGTGGAAATAGCTTTTATTATTAGCCAAGCTTCACACAAAATACACGTGTATTTCGTGTAAGTGCAATGAGCAAACAGCAATTAAATATAATGATTTTATAAAGAAAATAAAATGTAATGCTCTTGACAGATACTCCAATTACGAATACACAGCAATGTTTACTCGGTAAAGAGGCTGTGTGGATGCGAGAGCGGCCTTTGTATGACGCAAATGAGCCGCGTGTTGAAATGTTGAACTGCCATCAAAGTCTTTTACACGGTATGAAACATGATTTAATAAAATTTAAGGTTCAGTATAGGAATGAGAAATTATTTTTTTACCATTAGCGGGAAATTCCATTGGCACAATGACTATGGAAGCAGAGTATAGCTTACCTCAGCATTCTGCTACGAAGGATATCATACGCCAAGATGATATAAGAAAGTTTCCGCCGGAAGCATATGCATCTAGTGCAATATATAGTGAATTGAATAATTATCAGGTGAGTTTTCTTATATATCATATTTAGATAAAATATTTTTTTTAAATCTATATGCGGCTTGAACTTCACCACCAGTTCGATTTACCCAAATTATGTTTTCTGAATGAAACTGCACGAACTTGAAAAAATATCCAAATTCCTTAACATTAAAACTTTACAATTCCTCAGTTTCATTAATATTCCATATTCAAATTCTGGTTTGATTATAGTGGAATACCTGTAAGTGTATTAAGCAAAAATAAATTCCTAAAGGAATCCAGGCATTCATTAAAATTTTAAATCTCCAACAAATTGAGAACCTCATCTTGTGTTCATTTAAAAAAGGAACACTTTTATCTTTCACTAGGACCACACAGATGCCGAAGATTCCTGTATCAAATGTGCTGTTAGTCCAGGTTCATATGACAACAGTATGGTTAGATCATTCGCTGATAGCAATCAATATTCCGCCGAAGAGTGTTCAACCTGTTGTAGGAGTAGTAGTAATAGTTCCACATTAACAAAAGATTATAGTGATATGACAAAATGCAATGGCGATGACCAAGATCTGTCGATTGAAGAATGCCCTTCGTGTAAGACAGCTCAGTCCAAAACATCAAGTCAACAAGAAGCCAAAGCGTGGACAGCGATAGCTGATGTTGAATATGATTACCCTCAGTGGCAGTGGCTAGCCCGAGAAAATAGCTTTAGACAGGTTTCACAAGAACCAAGATACGAGACTCAAAGTAGACGGAGCGAGCAAAATTGTAGAATGAATCTGTGTGATATACTTCCACCACCTCCATATGAAAGGTAAGTTTAACATTCTCACTTTTTAGCAAAATCGTTACCATGGCAACAAGAACGGTATTATGTCCGCAATTCTAGGGTGTTTATGTCGTTTGTGAGATGCAAACGCATAGAGGTTGAACAAGGGTACAGAGAAAAAACTAAGCATGCAAAATTGATACAGCTACACCTAAATATAAATAAATTTTGTGAAAGCTGTATTAAAGCAGTAGACGGGATAAGGAAGGGCTTAGCATTACTTGCCTAGCGACGGTATACACAATTAACTTAGCTTCACGTTACACTTATTACGAAAAACTACCCCATTTCAGATAAGCTAAACTAATAGAGTGAAGTTCTTGATTTCGTTCAACTGAATTTAGTGTGTACTTAAGGCTAATCTAAGGCCAGACATAACCTAGTTTTTCGTACTGGCATTATTATTCAACTGTATAGGAAATGACTCTTGAAACCAGTTCAATTAATTCAGAGTTCATTGAAGATTATAATTAGTTGATAGAGTCAATCAATATCCTTTCTCAAGTTCTTGTAGCAAGATCCGTCCAAATCTGATGGCCGTAAATCAGAAAACTTTGGGTTGATAATATTAATTGATGCAGGGAATCGCCATATCGTGAAATGCACCCATACGGAAGCAACACCGGTGCGTCTGGATGTTCTGGACATTCTTACAGAAGCTAACTTAACAATATCATTAGGGATAATAAAAGCAATAATTAGTCTATCAATTATGTGTATATAAAATGTATATTGAAGTGTTAAACTGTTACACCGCAGCACAAGTATAGCTCAATTATGATCTCTGTTAATGCATGTTTTTTTGCCTAAGCATAAATCTATATGCTCAAATATAATCGTTTTTTAATCAATTGTAGTTCCAGTTAGTATATAATATTTATTATATTAGATATAGAAAAATAGTGGTGGTAGCTATACCATTTGTGCAAAACTGTAGTAGAATCACAAACCCGTTGTTTCGTTTGATCAATAACAATCAATTGAAGAACGTTATAGTTATCACTATGGGTATCTCAGCGAAATTTCTTGCTACAACTTATTAACTCACGCTTACTGCGTCGCTTATTACGCTGAAAAGTTATGTCTATAGAAATATAATAAAATATACTCACAGATTATTATTTTCTGAGCTCTTCCATATTAAGTGCAGGCATTCCGATGATTTTTCTAAAGGGAAAACATCGATAAAGTTTTAAATAATTGGGACGCCATTTTGTAAAAAAACAACTTAAACATCAGAGTTAACTGTCAGCTGTCAATGCCAAATGTCAAGATAAGAGCAGCGTAATGCGCGCCACGGCAAGCTTGATTTTATGTAAAAGTTTCGCTCGGTATTTAATCCTAGTTATTTTTTGGCGGTGATGATGAACAAAGGTTGTAGTGTTGTGAATGTGTTTAATAGACTGCTCTTGTAACGAAGTCTTGATTTTAGGTCTTATCTCTCTAGTGACTGTGATATAGAATAATTATGTATTGCATTTTTTTATTTTGTAAATAATTAGAAATATTTGATATCCCTATACAATTTTAACCTTTAACTATTTATAGCGTTTTCAAGTGAGAACCAATAAAAATTTTCGATCACAGTTGTAGTAATTTTGTACTGAACTAAAAACCTATATACAGTAATTTAATTTGTATATTCTGGTACATCAGTCAACTTATTAAATGATAGTATATTTGAGTGTTTTGTTTTATTATACCTTCAATATGAACATAATTTGCGTACTTAACATGAAAACTATGGCGTTGATTAATCTATATATTATATATATAATTCTTCTGTGAGTGTGTATGTCACTGAACTTCTCTCAAACGACTGGACCGATTTTGATGAAATTTTTTGTGTGTGTTCAAGGGGATCTGGGAATGGTTTAGATTCACAAATCAGCCCGGCAGATGGCACTGCAGTCGGTACTTTCATACTTTGCTTAATATCCTAATCGCTTTAAATATCATGCAGGACAACGTCTGTGGGGTCCACTAGTATGTATATAAAAATGAAACCCGTTTTCCGTTGTCACGACATAACATGAAAACGGCTTGACCGATTTGTCTGATTTTTTTTAATAATATTCCTTGAAGTACGAGGATGGTTCTTACGGAGAGAAAAATTAAAAAAATTGGGTAAAAAGGTTTAAAACAACACTTTTCTATATTCCCATACAAAATATTCGTTATTATTATATTATTGTTTTAAGGGTAAAAAACGGTTTATCTCGATTTCCGGCAAAACTAAAAGTCCTATCGAAGAAAGTTAAATGGCAAAGTTGTAGGTAATAAAAAGATCTTAAACTCTTGTATTCACACATTTTTCACATAACCTCAAAATTTATGTGAAAAATTCAAAAAACCAAGTTTTTGGTTTTTAATTTTTATCTTTTACAAATTTCTTTTTTTTTTAACGAAATTTGGTGAAAACTTACCTTATTATGTCCCAAATATACTGTAATTTATTTGATTAAAAATATTTATTTTTTCACCTTATTTTGAATTAATATCGAAAAAACACCCTAATTTTCAATCGAAAATTCTGACGTCAAAATTTCAGCTTTTTTCAAAAAGTTGGTGTGCTTTCAGTTCGTTGAAATCTCTACTTTCCTATGGTAAAAAAATATATATATGAATCTTCTTTAAATTATAATTAGATGCCTCTTTATTACTATTTTAAGATAACTTATATATACCTGAGTGACCTAAAAAAAATTTTTTGCCTTTAGATGGGCTAAAATTTTCGTATTTCATAGAGAAGTAGGGAAGGGTATGACGGGTCTGGGCGTTACTGCATACGATGTTTTGCATTTTCTGAGAAGATTTACTATGGTAATATATATATATCTTTTTACCATAGGAAAGTAGAGATTTCAACGAACTGAAAGCACACCAACTGTTTGAAAAAAGCTGAAATTTTGACGTCAGAATTTTCGATTGAAAATTAGGGTGTTTTTTCGATAATTATTCAAAATAAGGTGAAAAAATAAATATTTTTAATCAAATAAATTACAGTATATTTGGGACATAATAAGGTAAGTTTTCACCAAATTTCGTTAAAAAAAAAAGAAATTTGTAAAAGATAAAAATTAAAAACCAAAAACATGGTTTTTTGAATTTTTCACATAAATTTTGAGGTTATGTGAAAAATGTGTGAATACAAAAGTTTAAGATCTTTTTATTACCTACAACTTTGCCATTTAACTTTCTTCGATAGGACTTTTAGATTTGCCGGAAATCGAGATAAACCGTTTTTTACCCTTAAAACTCCCCCCTTCCCCTTCCCGACCTCAGATCGACCGTAATTTATTTTTCCTTTCATTTTGATCATATTCCCCTGCTTTTCTAATGGGTTTCGTCCTACTGTAATTTTTTTAACTTTTTATTTATTTTGAAGGCTATCTGCACTGGTCTATTCTATAAAATGTTTTGCATAAGTTAAGTGAAACCATAATTCTAAAAATAGATGCTGCGCAATTTGAAAGTTTACGCTTGCGAGCGTTGGTTTTCATTTATTTGATTAAATAAACTAAATTCCCTACCGTAAGATCTGGAATTGAATGTAAATGTTATACCCCTAAAATGCACTTTGGGTGCTTTCTACCCTGCACTATATGCGATACTGGTCACACTGACTGACTTGGGTAGAGGTAAAATTATCCTGTAAATGTTTGACCTCAATTTGTAATGTAAACGTTTCAAATAAGAACACAAACAGGTGTTTATATCAATGAAAACATTCTTATTTTAATTAACAGTAATTAATCACTATTTCACTCAGTCTAAATGAATCTACTAAATCACTATATTGCAGCACGCAATGTATCGGAACACCGAATTTGGTTTTCTATTTTGTGATATTTTTGCGGTTATCGATAAGAGGTTTTCATTGTAATATTACATGCTACCTGAAATTTTAATTCCAATTAGAATCGAAATTTTGTTACAAAATATTTTCTAATTTAAATGTGAAACTAATTTAAACTAATGCTATAACATCCTGATCCCTTTAATTTTAGTTGGGTTAAAACCTTATAGCAATTAAAGCCTTAATCAGCTTTTCTCGTAAATATCTAAATACGTTGTGGGCATCACAGCCTGCGTGCAACCTTAGGGTGTTACTATGGCAACCTGCTTTCACCCTCATTGCACCCTTGTTATTAATATCTGTAATAATTAAACTTGATTGCATTTCGCGCCAGGTGTTGGCTGACGGCTCTTGTCAAGCGATCCTTTTATAAGTTTTAATGGAGACGTTTTGAAGAGTCATTACGTGTAATCAAATAAAGCAGCGGTAGGTAAAGTTATTGGAGTTTATTAATCTTTAATTTTATTGGTAGCTAAGGGGCTAACCATTGCCTAATAGATCAGATCAAAAATTGTGACAGATAGCAGTTGGGCTCGACCCACGCCAGCCTCTCTACTTCTCATAGACCCAGGAGGGTTATACAGTAAACCCAATTAAACCACCTTGGATATTTCCTACACGGCTGCGTCCACGATTGTCGCTTTGGTATTCTACCGAATATAAATATGTAACATAATTTTTTTAGTTGTTATTACAAGCTAATTATTTCATTTCAACGCGTAGACTGTTGAGTGATGAGCAAAAGAGCAACAACAAACAAAAATTTCAAATTAAGATTTTAAACACTGAAATAGAGTCGAGTTACACGTGTGCTTTTCAAAGTGAGGATTAAAACAAAGGCCCATTTAAAAAAGGTGTCTGCGCTGAATCAAATTTCCCGGATTCCAGTTCCCTATGATTTTTATTTTCTTTATTACATCAACACTCCCCCACGTGCGATTTCAAAGCAGAGGGCCCTCCGTCGTGTCGCTAAGTCAAGTGGCAGGCTGACGGTGAAAAATTGAGAGAGATGCACCGCGTAAAGATGAAAGTTTATTTTGATATGTTCTGTGTCAAACACGAAATAAAAATATATAATTGTGGGTACTTTTAATACTATCAGGTAATTTAAATTTAGCATGGGGTGGCGGATGTTAAAATATGTTACATTAATGAACGTTTTAGGCCAGAAATGTGTATGTAAAGTAGCCATTGTAGAAGTAAAAAAAAAGTTAAAGGTGGTGGTGGTGATATGGACAAAGTTACCGCAGTTACTCTCATTAGGTCCGTGGTGCGTCCTAGTCCTGGCTAACTAAGCCAGCCTAGCTCCTTCTAGAAGTGCAAGTCTCCTGGGCACTTCGCAGGCTTCCGGGAGAGACCGCACTACTTCGAGGATTTCTATACGTTGGTTAGGCACAGCCACGCATTCCAGGACTACGTGGGTGACTGATTCCTCTGCGCTGAAACAGCTGCTGTCGCGCCTAGGACAATTTTTATTTTTATTTTAGGTTACTTCTGTTGAGGCTTAGAAGGCGCTTTGTCATTATCGGGCTAACTGCAGGCAGAGCCACCTGTCTGCACCATCGGTGTTGTTGGAGCTCTGTACATCTTTGGTGAATCCAACCTGGAACCTGGAACTTGCGAGAAGGGCAAGTGAAGGAGTTGGTACAGGCCAGGCAGCTTCATTCCGAAGCCTCTCCTCGCAAGCTCGTCAGCAGCATCATTGCCAAGAGATCCACTGAGTTCTCATCATCCACACACACTTTTATCCACTGTAGGATAACCCTGTTTGTCAGGTTTATTGCCTCCAGTACATTGTGAAACT